GGGGGGGGGCTCTGAGTTCTCCTTCCCTCCGCGTTTCCTCCCCCCGCAGCCCCGCACCTCATCCTTCTCCACAGTGGCATCACTGAGCAGCCGCACATCATCGTGAACGTCAAAATTGAAGAGCGGCCCTGCACGGAGAAAGCAGCCCCCGGAGACGGTCCGCCGCCGCCCTGCTGCCCGGGGCTGCCGGGAATAGCTCGCCGAGGGCAAGGGAGGGGGCCGGGCCGGGGCACTTACCACTCTTCCCTCGTGCCTTGGTGACAATGAAGTCATAGAAGCTGTGGTGCTAGGCGCAGAGGGCAGGAAAGCGAGGGCTGAGGACCCATCTCGGCTTCTCCCGACCGCCGGCCCACCCGCCTGCCCACAGGCCCGACGCAGGCACGGCGACCCCCAGCGACCCCACCGGCCCAAGCCAGAGACCCGGCGGGGACAAGGGCACCCGGAGCCCACCGCCCCTCGCGCTGCCACCCCGCCCAGGGCTGCAAGGACGAGAAGGGGCTCACGTGGGGAATGATTAAGTCCTCCTTGATGTACATGAGCTGCTCCACCCCCGCCGACCTGACGGAGGAAAGGCAGGAAGGCGTGGACGAGCGGAAGCCCGCCCCGGGACCATCCTCCGCCTCCGGGCTCGAGAACAGAAGCAGGCGCCCCCACCTAAGGAGCGCAGTGCCCGGCGTGCCGCCCTGCCACCGGGACCCCGGCACCCTGGGGGGGGCGCCACGGGCACCGCCCGCCCCCCTAGGGTCTCAGGTCCCAGAGCCGGGGCAGCACGCTGCACACGCATGCGCGCGCCCTGACCTGAGCTCGCTGAAGTCTTTGCGCAGGATCTCCAGCGCCTTCTGCAGGAACTGCTGCATCGTGTTGCCCTTTTTCATCTGCGGGAGCGGCCCGAGCGCCGGGAAACAGAACGTGGCAGCGTGGAGGCCCCGGGCAGGGACCCTGCAGCCCCTGGCGCCCCCCCACCCCCCAAGGGGCCAGGCCCTCTTGCCTGCTCCCTCCAGGACCCCCGGGGGAGCGCTCCCAGGAGAGGACCTGTGAAGTTCTGAGGTCAGGATGGAAAGCGCCTTCCCAAGGAGCTCCAAGGGGGGCCGGGCCGCAGTGGCCCGGGGAGCGGGGCGCGCTCCACGCCGCCTACCTTGACTGTCCGCCGGTGCCCAGAGCCATCCCAGTAACTGAAGGTGATTTCGATCTCCTCACCTACGAAGCACGATTGCCCCTGAAAACCGTGGGCAGCAGAGCCGGCTCCCCCTCGGCATGCCACTCAGCGGCACTCACTCTTGATCTTCTCCTGCTTGGCTTCCCACTCCTGCCTCAGCTCTTCCCGGAGCCGGTTCTCCTCTTCCTGGGAGAGGAAATGGGTCAAGGACGGAGGCCCAGGGCTGCTTGGGGGGCGCGTGGCACCGCTCGCCTTGAGCCCAGGCCTCTGCCGGAGCCCGGGGCGGGCGGGCGGCTTTTACCTCACGGTCCCGGTCAGGCAGGAAGCTGGTGTCCACATCGGGGTTCTTCCCCAATTTCCTCTTCTTTGTGGTGACCTCTGGAGCAAAAGGCAACACAGGAGTCAGCTGCATCAGGGGCCCCACCTCCAGGGCACCCTGAACCTTTGTTTCTCAAGCCTGAGCTCCGACGCCACCTCCTTGGAGGCTTCCTGAAGCATCCCGGCACCACCATCCGCTCCCGGCCACAGCAGCCTGAAGTGTGCTCTTCACGGCGCTCTGGAGACCTAGCCTTTGCCAAGAGGCCTTGACCTCGGTCTCCGCCGCCAGCAGCTGGACACGGGATCGGGGACTGTGACCCGAAGTGCCTTGGGGGACTTAAGGCATCAGTGCCAGCTTCTGAGGGCGCCAGGGCTCCTCTGCACGGGAGGAGCAGGGCATCCCCAGAAGGCTGGACACTCGGGCAGGACCCCCTCCCTGCCAGGAGCTGTGCTCAGCATGCTTGCAGATCTGACGTCCCACCCAATCGTCACGACAGCGCCAGAGCAGTACAGCGCCCCTTGCTCCCGGGCGAGCAAACTGAAGCCCAAAGTCCCACAGGTGCCAACACTGGAGCCAGAGGGGAGGAGGGAAGGGAGAAGCCAGACGAGGGCTCAGGCCGGGCTCGCCGACATCATGGACTCTGACTTGGTTTCTGCAATTGGAATGTGAACGAACTAGCCTGTTGGGTCTTCAGGACCCACGGACACTCTTACGAGTTACTGAGGACCCCAGAGAGCTCTTGTCTACGGGGGCGGTGGCTATCGATAGTCACCAAATTTGAGATTAAGCCGGAGAAACACCGAAGACTCAGAAACAACGAAGGCGCACACTCTGTTAGCTGTTGGAATGATGACATCATCACGCTGCAAGCTCAAGAGAGACTTCGATGCCAAAGGCCCAGAATGTTTTAGCACGATTATGAAAGTGTTTTGGAGCTTGCAGACCCCCCGAAAGGGTCTTACAGACTCCTAAGAGCACTTTTTGAAACCTGGGGACCTAGGAGACAAGCCTACACTCCAGCCTGCCGCTCCAGGGCCTGCCTGCACGTTAGAATCACCCAGAGAAAAATCCCACACTAGTGCCCCATCGCAGGGCCCCCAAAACGAAACCACAGCAGGGGGGAGGAAGCACTCACGAAGCCCTAGTGACCCACAAGGACGTTAACAGCTGTCCCCCAGGTCCGTGCTGTCCAAAACAGACGCATTGCTCATGGGATGCTACTAAATACTACTAAACACTTCATATTGCTAAATAGTACTGAAATTCACTTCACCTGTTTCGCTGCAGCTCTGGGAACACACGAGACCCCAGGAGGCACAGGCTCTTCCTCCTGACGGCGTCAGCCGCTCCCCTTGAGGCCACCAGACCGGGCCTGTGGCCGCAGCATGCACCACCATCCCCTGCCTCAGTTCCCTGGCCACCACGCTTTCTAAACCAGCCCAGGCCCGCCGTCACAGCCCCCCAGGTCTTCACATGTGTCCCCTCCTGCCGGCTCGGCTTCTGGGCACACTCACCGCTTGACTCTACATTTCTCCACCCGCCGCCCCCATCCCTCTGGTTGCTCATGAAATTCTCCTCATCCTAAAGGCCCATCTCAACTGTCCCCACCACAGGATGTTTTCCCTGGCCCCGACCTGGCCCCGGACCCTTCAGCAGGGCACATACCGACCGATGGGACTCGAAGGCCCTGCCTCTTGTCTGCCTCGCTGCTGGCACACGGGGGCCCCATGCTGGTTTCCCCCTTGCTACCCAGCCTTCCCGAATTGTCCCTGTCACCCCTTTGTCCCTCGGCCGAGAACTCTACTGTCCAGTTATGTTGCCCCTGAATGTCTGTGGCTGTATCAATTTACCCCGAAATGAATCAACAGAATTAATGATTCGGTGTCCCAGCCACACAAGCTACGTGCTCGGTGGCCACCTAGCAGCACAGACACAACTTCAGGATCACCGCAAGCCCATCCTTCGTGGCACTTACGAAGGGCAGCTTCTGCAGGCTTCCTGACTGGGCAGCAGCCTCCCTCTGGCAGCCTCCTACACTGAAGACGCCAGGCCCCTGGCGAGAGGCCACACGCCTGCCTCTGACTCCCTCGGCCCCTGGGGGCAAGCCCCATCCCACCCCCGGAGCTCAGCACGCGGTGCAGACTCGGCCCTCTCCGTCCTGCCCGATGAGATTCGGGACCCCGAACGGGGTGGGCCCGCAAGGCTGGGCGGTGGCTACGCGTCCCCGTGCTAGAGCCTGGTCCCTAGGACCGGCCTTTACCTTCCCTCTCCAGCTCCTCCTCGTATACAGCCGCGTCCTCCTCCTCATCCCCTGCCTCCTCCTCTTCCTCCAGGGTGAAGGACAGGCTGGAGATCTTCCGCTTGGCCTCCTTCTTGCGCTCCTTCTCCCGTAGCTTCTCCAGCTTCCTACCAAGGCACAGGCACCATCACGCCTCACGTCCCCACCCTGAGGCTCCTTCCCTGACCCACGGCTGCCCGTGTGCTCAGTGTGGGGCCCGCGTGGCACAGGCCCGGAGCAGTCTTCCCAGCCTGGGGCACTTCAAGCTCATGGGCAGGCCCCCTCTCGAGGGGCAAGAACAGCCTGGCCTGCCCCGAGCACTAGTTGTATCTCGAGGGGAGGACTGCCGGCGGAAATGACAGGAACCCACAGCTGCAGCTCCTTCGACTGCTCTTTCTTAGCCAACTGCTTCTCCCTCTCCTTCACCAGTGCCTCCTGCTTGGCCTTCATATCATTCAGGGTCACAAGACCTGTGAAGTGAGGAGAGATGGGAGCAGGGGTCGGTCACCCGGAGTCAGCAAAGCGGCAGGCCTCCGGTCCAGGAGAGGGGGGCATGCACGAGCTTCACTCACCGACGGTGCTGGACTTGAGCTCTGCCTCCACGGCATCATAGTGTGCCGAGAACTTCTTGTCAATGTTAGACTTCATGATGTTCTCCTGTTGGGAAGGGAGAAGAGCAGTGAGGGCCACCCACCACCCCACTGTGGAAGTGGGGACCTGGGTTCTAGTCCCAGGTCTGCCTCTGGACTCACGATGATGTGACCTTGGGAAAAACGTGTCCTCTTTCCTTTATCAAAGGAAGGTTCCATAGGTCTATGAGGGGCCCTCCCAGTGCTGAGGATGCGAAATGAGGTGGGTTTTTTTGCGACCTCCATGCTGTTCTGGCCCCTCCATGTCTCCTGCTGGGGACCAGAGCTCCCTCAGTGGCCCGGGGTCACAGGCTCTACCTGCCTTTGGTGTTTTTCATACCTAGCCTTTAAGCTGAAGGTGGAGACCCAAGCCAAGGGGTGACAGGAGAGAGTGAAGAGTGGTCAAGGGGCCTAGTCCCCCACTGAGCAGTGTTGCTCCCTCTTGGCCCTAGATGTTGCCAACAGCTTCCCATGAGACCTCACTCCAGCCCAGCCCCATCCCACTTGGTACCACACAGGTCCCTCTCTGGCTGGTGGCCTCCAAAGGAGGGAGCCAGCAGAGAAATGCAACTCCAGCGGGCCAAACAGTTCACACTGAGACAGCAGGACTGGGGCACCAGCGGGAAGTAAGGTCGAGCCAGGCCTTGGCATGCGGCTGCTTCCTTGGGCCGGGCTTCCACAGTACCTAAGGTAGCCTGCTCTTCGGACAAGTCTCCCCAAAAGGCCCCAGCAGAGGAATCCTTTCTTCCTGACAGCCCACCACCACTGGCCACTGACTAAAGCCCTTAGTGAACCGCTCGCACCCCAGACACTGAACTCTGCCTTTGTCCCAGTGCAAAGGGCTCTGGAATGAGGCTCAGTGGCCAGTGGATTGGCCAGGGCCCGTGGGGCCTGACTTTCCTGGCATCCAGAGGCCTCGTTCTCAGGGCTGAGGGGCCAGGTACACGAGGGGAGCCCAAATTCCACCAATGGGACCACTGACTATGGCTCCGCCCAGTTGGAGGCTTGTCACAAGCTTAGCTCGTCTCAGCCTCCTGGGCACATTTTACAGATGAGCAGACTGTCGCCGGACCGCTTCTGCCCTTTGCTGGAGGTGAGCGAGCAAGGGTCCCGCCCCGCCTCGCCACCGGGGCTCTGCGTCCGCCCGCCCCCCCCACCCCGGGTTTCGCGGGGCCCCAGAGGGCCGGGGCGGCGGGCGGCGCGCGTGCTCCGAGACGCCCCGGCCTGGCCCGCACCTCCGCGATCCGCTGCTTCATCTGCTCCATCTGCTCGCGCTGCTTCTCCCTCTTCTTCATCAGGTGCATGGCGCGGCCCGCTTCGCTCGCGGCGCCCTTGTACTGAGCCATGGCGGCGGCGACGGCGACGGCAGCGGCAGCGGCGACAACGGCCTGGTGGAGTCTTAGCGGCTGCAGACGGCAGCAGCCGTGCAGTCAGCTGACCCCCGCGCGGTGACGTCGGGCACCAGGGGCCGCGCGCCCGGCCCCGCCCCTCCGCCCGCCCCGCCCCGCTGGCCTCCGGAGGCTGGACCCGTCCCTGGCTTCCTTGGTTCCCCATCAATTCCTCGACATTAACTCCTGGTCCGAGACTGGGTCCCCAGTCCTCCTTCATCCTGCTGACCCCAAGCCTGGGCCCCCAAGACCCTCCACTTCCTTAATGTTGAGCCCAGCCAAGGCCAGATCCACACCCCACTCCAGTGCCCTTGCGGCCTCCCTGCCTGAGGCCACCCTGGCTCCGACTCCTTTCTTTCACTCCCCCACCCAAGACTGGGCCCCAGTCTCCTGTTTCCCCAGGCCATGAAGCTGGGCCTGGGTGCCCTCTGCCTCCTCCCTGACCTGGACACAAGGACCCTGCCCTCTCCACTTCCACCCCTGCCCTAGGCCAGACCCCCTTCTCCCTATTTCCGCCACACTGACCCCCAGGGGTTGCAGTCCTGGTGCCAGCACTAATTTGCCAGGTGGCCTTGGGCAAGTCAACGTGACCTATTTCCTCCATACAGGTCCTTTTGGCTCAGGAGCTAATTCCCTGATGAAGATGATTACCTTTCACACCCATCCCCAGCAAAGCTAACCCACAGACTGGAACCGATACAACGAACAGCCCAGGGAGCCCAGGCCCCGCCCAATGCCCAGTTTTTTTGGGAAGCAAAACAAAAGATCTGGGCCCAGGTTTCAACACAGTTTTATTGGGAGGTTTTCTGTGAAATACACTAGAGGTTGGGGAAGGGGACACATTCACTTTGCAAGGTAAGGGTTTCCCACCACTAAGGGAAAGGTTGTGGGGTGGGGCAGGGCATACTGGGGTTTGGATCCATTTTCCCACCTCCTTTTGCTTTGCTCACATTTTTTTTTTCTCTCTCAGCAAATGCCAGAAAACACAAACACAAGAACAAGAAACAAAAACAGCAAGATCAACCTCCAACTGGGCCGCACCCAAGCCCTCTCCCCTCCCAGGCCGCACCAGAAGGCTGCGGGTGAGAGGCACAGTGCTCCCTTCTCAGATCGGGTGGGCCAAAGTTAATAAATTAGAATAAATTAACGAGGGGGGGGAGGAATGCAACTTTGTGCTGGGAGGGCCCCTTCTCTCCAACACACAAGAGAGTTGGTGGGGGGAGGCAGGGGGCATCTCCAAAGGCCACTACAGTGGGGGTAAGAGCAGTGGGGACAGAAGTCAGCTTTTCCTCCACGTTCTTCCCAAACAGAGCAGAAGAATTAGGAGTGGAGGGGGGAGAGACACACACAAGGAAATGAACCCTCTTTTCCCAGAATAAGGAAGGGCCAAGAAAGAGGATGCTATCCAACCCCCCGTCTCCCAGACCATCGCTAAGGTTAAGGATTTGGTCAGTGAATCAATGAGGTGGGTGACAGGAATGTAGAATGTGGTGGGGGAAGCAGAGAATGCTGGAAACCGGGGTGCCCAGCCACACCCATCTCCCCAGCCCTCAAGGAGAACAGACTTAGGTCAGGGGAGAGGGCACCAAGGGCTGGGGTGTGTGCGGGGAGGGGGGTTGTCAATCACTGGTCAGCTTCTCCAAAGACGTCATTCTGTTTGCGCTTCATGTTCTCAAAATCAAAAGCGGAGCCTGCCATGCGCTTGTAGATGTCTTTGATGTCATTGCAGGTTGTCTCGAAGTGTGTGGTGGCATCATAGGAGCAGGAACAGAACACCTGGAAATATCCAGAGCCCAGGGCCAGGGTGAGTCGGGCAGGGGCCCTGGGAGGGCAGCGAGGAGCCGGGGCCGAGATGGCCTGCTTACCTGGCTCTCGGAACCATCGTCAATGGGCTCATATAAGTCACTGATGGCCACAAACCTGAGGAGCAGAGAGAAGGGAAGGGAAAGACCTCACAACAAGCCTTACTCTCCCTGGTCTCTGCTTCTCCCCCCCCCCAGCTCCTTGGCTCCCTTCCTTCCCCCCAGTGAGGCCCCAGCCCTTCAGCCCCTCACTTCTGGTCAATGGGCTCCAGCAGCTCCAGGGCAGGTTCAACTTCCTTTTCCGGCTCTGTAGTCTCCACCGTGGTGCTGGCGATGGCGATGTACTTGCCCTGTGCAGCCACGTTGTGTGCGTAGGAGATCATGCACACGTAGATGTCTGCCCACAAGAAGGGGCTCCGTTAACATGGGCACAGAGGGCCCCTGGAGGCTCGGCCCAATTCAGGCCTGCCTACCCACTCCTCCCCAGCCCTGCACAGCAAGCAGCATCCAAACCCACTCTCACAGAGGAGGAGAGTCCAAGCTACCCAATCACTAGGGCTTAGGTCAGGGGAGAGGGCACCAAGGGCACCAAGCCATGGGGATTGCTACGTAGGTCCCCATTCTTCCATGCAGGAATCAGGCAGACAGCCCCAAGAATGATGGGGAGAGGCAGAGCCACCCCAAAGAGAACACACTGGAGGCAGTCACCTGGGACTCAACCTACCTGACTTCCTGTTAACTTGGTTCTGGGGGATGATGATTTGGCAGGAGTTGGCATCATTGGTGTTCTTGATGGGGTGGCTGAGGATACAGATGATGCGGATAACCTGGCCGGCCTTCCGCACTCGGTCCGGAATGTAGCTGGGGTCACAGATCAGCTGCTTGCAGCGGGCCACCTGTGAAAACACCAGACCTATCCAAACACTCCCCTAGGTGGTTGTGGGGCTGAGTCCACGCTGAGGGCTGGCACTGCACTCCTCTGAGCTGTTACCCCGGCCCCTCCTGTAGTATATAGCTTCATCCTGTCCCTCAGGGAGGTGGGCCCCCATATGCAGGGCTGGGGAAACCCTTCTGCTGAGACACTGTGCTCAAGAACACTCCCCGGACCTCTGACACAGCACGTGGGTTTGAGATACCTCTCACCAATGGAAACGGCTATGTGGACTTCTGGAGCTCTGGTCCCCAGCCCAAGGCTCTTAGACCTGATTAGCAGCGGACCCAGCAGAGCCAGAGTCACTGGGAAGAGGGCCTCTAAGAAGGCCAAGCCCCACCCAGACCATCATGCTTGCACCGTGGTGAAGGCTTACCTCTCCCTCAGACTTCACACCCACCACCTTGCCATTCTCCATGATGATGTCATCCACAGGTTTGTTCAGCATGTATGTCCCTCCATAGATGGCACTCAATCTGCGGTGGGGAGAACGATGGTGGAGTCCCCTTCCCAGGAGGAAAACAGGGACAGGGTGCCCTCCCCCTACCAGCACTGGGGTACAGAGAAGGCTGCCCTAGGCAGGCAGAGCTCAGGAGACCTGGTGGCTCTTCCCAGCTCCGTCACTGCCACAGACGCAGGACTGAATCTGGAGTGCTCCTTCCTCTCTGGAGCTTCAGCCTAGAATATTCTGCAAAGGGCTAGTACGAGGGTGGCATGAAGGTACAGCTAGCTCCTCACGGGAACGGTCTGGGGAACAGAACAAAGGGCTCTGGAGAAGCCCTCTGACTCAAGGTTCAAAGGCCCAGGCCCAGCCCTGGTGCTGCCTGACTCGGGCTGGGAGCCAAGCAAGCCCGGTTGGTGAAGGCCTGGTTCTTCAACCCTGCACTTCAGCTGCCTGCTGCAGCACACCGCCCCCCACCCTGCCACCCAAGCACGGTATGAAGTAAATTAGACCACAATGGGAAAGTTCGAACGCTACAGAAATGCTCAAGGGTGCCATTTCCACTCTTGGCTTTAGTCTTATTTAGTACTGTCAACAGAAAAAAACCACGTCCTCACCTTGCAAAGCCCTGGGGCAGCTCACCAAGGCCGTAAAGTGGGTATAAATAAGGACTCTTTCCATACCGAGCCAGGGACTCACTGTACAATTTGATGCGGTTGATGGTCTCAAGACAGGGCTGGTCCAGGTAGCTGGGGGGACGGGGTCAAAAGAAGAGGCTCCAGCAGCAGCACCCCCAGCTCACCCCCACCCAAACACCAGGCCAGCCTTCCCACCACTCTCTATGGCCTGGGAAAGACTATGGGTCAAATAAATGCACAGAAAAAACAAAAAAGACAGTGGATAAGCGTGTAGCTGAGTGCAAGAAATGTGCAGGGTGGGTCAAGGGAGCAGCACGCAGGAACGGGGAGGGCAGGGTGCAGGCCAGACGAGGGGCAGTCTGCCATGCCAGCTTCCTCTCACTCATCAGTGCGGTAGAGGGCCAGGGCATGGCCAGTGAAGTCGATGACATCCTGGCCCAAGTCAAACTTTCGGTAGACGTCACGCATGCTGGTGCTCTGGGGGTCAACACCCTCGAAGGTCTTGGGGTCATTTTCATCAAAGTTTGCCACAAACACCAGGAACTTGCGGAAACGCCGTTTCTCAAACATGCCCATCAGATCTGTAGAGGCAATGTGAGAAGAACCTTCACACCACAGAACATGAACCTCTCCTTCCCACCAGGCAGACCAAGAAAGCACCCAACTCCCAGCTGAGTTTTGTTGCTGAGCACCGTGTAACCTTAAATTAACCCCTCTGCCCTTCTTGGCCTCAATTTCCCCATCTGTACAAAGAGGGGATTGGACTGGACAAGCTCTGAGGATCCTCCCAGCTCCAACACCTGGGGACGTTTCACCGGTCAAGTGCAACCCCTGTCAAAAGGCTGAAGTCTTTTAAGAAAGAGCAACCACCCATGCATCCTCTTTGCGTGTGGACTTCCCTCCTCGCATCCACTGTGAGGCTCAGGGCAGTCGAGGGAGAACAGACCAAGGGGGCTTATGGTACATGGGGAATGTGACCTTGGGCAAGGGGCACCCTGCTCTGCCCCTCGCCATGATTCTCTGGCTCAGGGAACATGTACTCACTGGAAGCCAAGGCTTCAGTCTCGGTGGATGGCACTTTATAGATCTTTCCCCCCTTGTAGACAAAGCTGCCCTCCACCACCTTGAAGTCCAGGTAGCGCGTCACCTCTGTATACAGCAGCATCTTTACCAGCTGCCCTGTGGGGTGGTGGGGTGAAAACAACATCAGCACAGTCCCCCCCCCAGAAGTTCCCTAG